GAGATCGCTGACTACATCACCGGCCGAGACGAGACGGAACCAGACATCGTGGTGTTCGACGTCAAGGATCAAAACGACGAGTTCGTCCTCACTGGCACTGTACGGGGCACTGATGACGCAGAGGAGAACGCCGCTACTGGCGAAGACGATATTAACGACGACGACGGAGACGGTGACGTCATTGTCGCCGTGAAGAACGAGCCGCCCCGAGAAGACGTGGCGATTTTCATCAACGACAACATCCTGTCGCTCAATCCATCTGGAACGAGGTCCATCGTGGACGTCCTCAGGTCGAGCGACGAGCACGAGGAAGACCTCGTGATCGTCAACATCGACGACGGACGCGGCGAGACGGACGACGGGGCGAGCACTGAGGGAGGCGAGAATGAGGAGGAGGAGGAGGAGGAGCTTCTGCTTGGGAGGGAGGGGCAGGAGGGAGCTAATGATAGGAAATGTGGAGATGACAAGGCAAAGGAGCAGGAGGAGGACCAGGCAAAAGGAATGGGAGAAAAACAACAGAAAAATGATGTAGAGAAAGGAGAAGCACAGCAAATGAGCTGTAAAAAGGATACGGAGAAAGAAAACGTTTCGATAAAGGAAGAGGTGGAGGATGTGAAAAAAGAGATAAGAGACCTCGGGAGGAGCACAGGGAAAACGTCCCCGGGAGCTGAGCAAGTGTCGAATGTTGCGCCCGACAGTGAAATCCGGAATTAGTTTTCACATGTAATTCTGGCAAAGATGAAGACTTAGCTATCGTGGTAAGAGCATCTCGGAGAGGGATTGGGTGTTGTAAGCAGTTAGATTTTACTCGTAAGAGTAGAAGTAAATGTAGATTACTTACTCACCACTTATCGAGGAGATTACACACGGAGGAAGAGAGGCCGTAGAGGTCAGTATTTTACGGAGGAGGGCCTACACACTTGATTTCTTTGACGGGGGGACCATTATGTGGGCGCGAGTAGTTGATGAGATGCGTTCCCATTTATCGGCCAATAATGGCATGACCCGGAAAAAACGCCGCGTTCCCGAATAGAAGCTTCACGTACTAATGTACCGTCAGTATCCTCTCCCAGGCTAGGCGTATCGGCGCAACGTAAGGAGGGAGATTTATTTAGAGAGGCAGGTTATTCTATTTGCGTCACGGCCGAATCACAGCGGCCTCTGGGAGACGATTCCTCGGAAGTTACTTCGTTTTTGCGTGCGATTACGTCTACGGCCTACGCGTTAGGTCGGTCCAGGCGACTCTGTCCGCGCACAGAAGAGTGCAACGTGGAATAATTCGTGCACTTCGGGAGGCGAGGTTGCGAGCAAGCGGGCGGCGGAGTGGCAGGATCAGAGGGCGGGCAGAGAGAATCAGGCGCTCACGGCAGAAGGAAGGAAAAAGGGTACCCAGCATGTCGACTGTGAGGCCGATGCAGAGCGCTTTTCAAATGGTAGCGCGTCTGCTTGATTTTGCGTTTATAGTTACTAATGTTTACTTTTCTCTCATCGCGAGTATGGGGCTTTTTTCTTTTCTAAAGTCTGACATTTTCTCCTACAGAAACACTCTTATTTCATCATTATCTATACATAAGTGGATCATTGTGCGTTTTGTGCTTCAGCGGAACGTCGTGTATTCTTGCGTTCTCTAAGAACTCTTTTTAGTTTGTGCGTTGGAACGTTGCTCGTACTATGTTGCGACAAACGGTTTTTCTTTACTCGAGAGTGGGTCTTGTTGGTGCTTTCTGCCTTTCTCTTTCGGGTAGTTGTTTGCGGATTGAAATAGATATATATCCAATAGTCGTCGTTTTGCCTGTCGTGAGTGGAGACTGAGCCTGGGAGGAGCTTGGCAAGACGCCCCGACAGGCATATTTAGAGGCTATCTTCAGGGAATATGTTGGTGGGTCAGGATGGAACACGGGAGTCCCTGTGACGATGGTGATATCTCAGTGGTGGTGTCATGAAGCAACGAGCCGGCGTGTTGGTCGAGGGATGGGTGATTTATGCGTGCATACCTATCGCCGTGGCACAGGAAGGGCGGCCTTACGCACTCTCGATGACCCGGGTCAGCAATCCGTTCCGTTTTTTTACTGAGTCGGACTTTCGCATTGCTGGTTCCCGTTAATAGGTTTGTTTATGACGAGATCGGGAGTAACATGACGCAGAGTCATAGGCAGCAGGGCGAGACGAGCGCTGAGAGAGGTCGCGTCCGGTAGCGTGGGAATTTCCCTGCATCGCGTCTAGTGCGTCATCCCCTGGTCTCGGGTCCCCGCGGTTGTTCTCTTTTTCCTTGGTCTCCTCCGTACGCGGTAAGTCCTCTCTCTCTTCTGCCGCCGTCCCTGCAGTGTCTCTGCGCTCTGTCTCGGCGGATCTCTTTTATCTCTGATTGGCGTAACAGTGCCGTCGGCGACGGAGGAACAGGATTCTCATACGGTCGAGGTCTACATTCGTTTGCTACGTGTCGGCGGTTCTCTCTCTCGTGTCCGATACTGTCGTCTACGGGAGCATTCACCCTGCGTCATGGGACATTTTCGACGACAATAAGGTATATCTCTCTCTCTTCTCTTTCAGGACCGGAAAGACTAGTGTGGAAATGCTCCTCATCTCTTCCTTCGCTATCATATATGTATATAATATGCTGTCGTGCCTATACACACACGCACACCACGCACACACTCCATCTACACACACACACACCACCACCACACCACTCACACACTACCTCACACTCACCACAACACACCTCCACACCTTATAATATATATCTCATCTCACTCTCTCTCTCTCTCCTCCTCTCATCTATTCACCTACGCTACATCTTCATCTCGCTTTTTACTTCTCTCTCGACTATTATATACGCTATATGCTTTTTCTATCTGTGCTTTTTCTCTTCTTCTGCGCGTTTATTTATCTTTCTTTCGTCTGTTCTGGATAATGTATCATTGCTATTCTCTGCTATCAATGCTATAATTTTCGTCATTCAATCTTCTGTGTTCTGCTCTTCGTTCTCTTCTTCTTATATATTATGTATTATAATTATTCTTATTACTATTATACTCTCTCCTATATCTTAGCTATCTATGGGTGTGTGCGTGTGTGTGTATGTGTATGCTGTCGTCTCTATCTCATTACTCCTCTTACTCTTCATCTCGTATATCATCTCTCTCTCTCTCTCTCATATCTACTTCTCACTTATCACATCCTCTATACTCATATTCCATAATCCAACTCAACTTTCCTCACTATATTTCATCATGGTGTGCTGGTGTGTCGCTCTGATGCCGTCATCCTTACCCGCCTATTCACTCCTACTATACTCCGTCCTACATCCTATTCATTATATCATATATGCTTCTCCCATCATCTCCTATACACCACCCGTTCCTCCTACTACCGACACACCCCCACACACACAACTATCACACATCACCTACACACACACACATCATACTCACACACTCACCACACACATCATCACCCACCACACATCACCACCTATCCTACCACCTACCATCCACTACCCCTATTAATTCTCCCCATCCGCACCCCTTTTCATCCCTCTCCCTAGCCCATCTGTCCGCTCCACCCCCGCACCACTTACTATCCCTTCCCCCGCCTACCTATTAGCCCGTCCACTCCCACCTACCTCAACCCCATGTACAGAATATGGTGAGCTTATTTAACTCAATACCTCTGAGCACCATCACACACACGCACACCACACCACATATTGGTACACAACACATACATTATAATTATAATATATATATATATATATTATATTATATATATATAATATATATATACATATATATACACACACACACACACAACACACACACACACACACACACACCACATATTATATATATATATATAATATATATATATATATATATATATATATATATGCATACATACATACATACATACATACATACATACATACATACATACATACATACATACATACATACATACATACATACATACATATACATACATATATATATAATATATATTTATATATTATACATACATACATACATACATATATTTATATATACTATATATATATATATATTATATATATATATATATATATATATGTATATGTATAGGACATATATTTATATATAGACATATATTTATATATATATTAATATATATATAAATAGTTATATATAGATATAGATATAGATATAAATACGTGTATAGTATATATTTATATATATATATATATATATATATATATATATATATATATATATAATGTGTGTATGTATGTATATACATATACATATAGACATATGAATTTATTTATATGTATATATATAGATATATATATAGATAGATATAGATATATACACATATAAATACATACACATACATTATTTGTATAGACAGAGAGAGAGAGAGAATAAGTGAAGCACTCGTATGACGTGTCAGAGCGAGCCTCCGAGGGCGGCGTGTCCCCTCCTCCTGTCACAAATTGGCAGACGCCTGACTAAAGTAAGCCCGGCGGAAGTCCCAAGGCGTAGACAATGGCACGGCCGGAATGTGTGGTGTAGTATAGGAAAAGGTAGAAGGGGGTGATGATACGGGGAAGAGGGGAGGAAGTGGAAGTGTAGGGTGTCTGAGGTATGCGGGCGTCGGGACTCGCCTATTTACGGCTAGCTTCTCAACCCGTTACCTCGGGGTTATCTGTCCTGCTTCCGCTTTTTTTTCCCGTTCTCTCTCTCTCTCTCTCTCTCTCTCTCCTCTCTCTCTCTCTCTCCTCTCTCTCTCTCTCTCTCTCTCTCTCTCTCTCTCTCTTCTCTCTCTCTCTCTCTCTCTCTCTCCTTCCCCGTAAGCCCCCCCCCCCCCTCCACACATGCATTTCTGCATATACATATATTCTGTGTTTGCGTGCGCTATTTTTTGTGTGGTTCTGTGTATTTCAATTTTACAATACTATGTCTTATCAGTTCATTGATTTATGGATTACACTAGATACACTTCAGATATAGATAATCATATATTTACAGGCCTAGTTAGAGGTTTAGATAAAGGTTTACAAACAGATAATCGTAGCGAGGCGCGACCTTGGTGGGTCTACGTCACAGACGGGACAATACAAGCTGGCACCGCAAAGTAGGGTGTCTCGGGGCGAAGAAAGGGTGACTAAGGCCCTGAGTCTCAGAATCTGCTCCTTTGATAATGCGGATATATCGTGCGGTTTTCAGACGATGAAATGTTTACGTTAACGACGCTTCGTGACACGTAATGAGATGAGGGGCATAGAGCATACATAAGACGTCAAAAGAGTTTAGGGTCATCTTGAGTAATCCAGGACGTGCCTTTGCGGTCACGTAATTGGATGGCGCCAGCCCTAGAGCTCGAGGGCGAGCGGCGCTGGACGGCGGCAGTCGGCGTCGAGAAACCGATCGCGATGGGAGACAACGTCAGCAAGGAGGAGCTCGGGGATAACCTGGCGGCGGCGCAGCAGGACAACGGGTTCGAGGACGAGGAGGACTTTAGTTCGGAGGAGACTGACGAGGAGGCGCACGATCAAGAAGCCCCGGCCTCATCGAAGGAACCCGTCGCTGCCCAGGGGAAGGAAAGCAACGACACGCTCCCGGACTTGCCCAGGAAGGGGAGTGAGAGGGCAGCGGCGGAAGAGGAAAGCAGCGCCTCCGGATCAGACGGAAGCGATTCCGAAAGGGAGGAAGACGGAAGTGCGTTCGGCAAAGAAGGCCGTTCGGCGGACAGTGAAAGGGCTGCTTCGGAAATGTCGGACGACGACGCAGAGACAATTGGGAAGGAAGACGGCTCGGCGGAGTCTGTTAGCGATGTGAACGGAAATTCCACGGACGCGGAGGAGGAAGGACGAAACGCTAAGGATAAAATGGCAATATCGCAAATCCATAAACCCGAACACAAGCTGGAAGATGATGAGAGTAATGACAAAAAAGAGGTTGTGTCCGAATCAGTCGCAGAGCCGACAGAAACATTAGAGGAGGAAAACGGTGACCCGAAACAAGAAATGGTAGGCATATCAGATAAGTTATTAGAATCGGCGCACAAAGAGTTCACATCTGAAGCCGAGGAAGATGGGTCGGAAACCGTCGAGGAAAAAGACAGTTCGTCTGACGAAATGAGCGAAAGGGAAGATGGTTCGCACAGTGTTTCGGAGAGAGCCGGAGAGGCAGCCGTGTCGGAATGCGGGCTTTCTGATTCAGCGATGAAGCACGTGACCGCTGAGCTTGGAGTGGCCGGGCCAGACGAAGACACCGAGCATGTACACAAAGAGACTGCGGAGCCTCTTGAAGGGGCAGGTACCTGTACTCTGCAAGTGGAGGGTTTTGGGCGGGAAAGACAGAACTCCTTCGTGGAAGAGACTGTTGTGGAGGTTATCAGGAAAAGCCTAGAGAGTGTTAGCGCTTTAGAAATGAAGATAGAGCCAGATCCTTCTCTTGTGTCGGCTCAGGCTTCCGAGGGCGCTGTTGTTGTTGAGAGCAAAGACCTAGAGGTGAAGGGCACCAGCAGGTCGGGGGAAACTGCTGAGGAAGCGGAGGGATTTGCACACGCCGGGGCGCTGGCGAACATCAGAAAGGAGTCACCGGCAGTGAAAGAAGAACCTGGCGGGCAAGAGCATGATGAATCAAAGCAGGAAGAAGCCACGGGTCCTGAGGCCGATACAGTTGCAAATGCGGATGCTGGAAAGTGTCCAGAAATAATAGTGGAGGGCATTGGCACCTCGCCAAAAATGGGAGGTGATCTTGAGACTTTCCTGGTTCATGCAGACATGTGCGAGTCTGTTTATTACGACCGGAACGAAGCTGAGCCAGAAACTTGTCCTGAACCGGTCACTTCCTCAGTTGCCGACACCGCGGAGCACCAGGAAGAAGCACTTATGTCAGACGCCATGGAAACCGTATCGCAGACACAAGCTGAGGCGACGCCGAGAGCAGCAGGGGCTGAAGATGGGCAACAGACGCCGGGTATCGAGATGAGTCCACCTCCGCATGTGCTGGAAGTTTCGAATGTCATCGCGTCCAGTGATTCTGAACAAGAAAAGGAGGAAGGAGAGGACGCCTGTGGTGGCAGTGGTTCTTCAAAGGACACGGTGGAGGAGGATGAAGCAGACACGGTGGAGGATGTGAAGAAAGATCAGCCTGAAGACGTCACGGTCGAGGGAAGTGATGAAGCAGGGACTTCTGAAAGTTTTTCATATACTGAAGGTGAAGCAGAATTGTCCGTTGCAAGTGATACTGATTCGCGAATCGCCGTGAGTGAAGTAGAGGGTATAAACAGTTCTACATCAGAAGATGGTACTAATAAAGCAGACATTGAAAAAGACGAATCTGAAGCTGAACTGTCTGCGACAGACGTAACTGTAACTGAAACGGTTGGAGCCGAAGCAGTTGTTGATAAAGTTGTTACAGCAAAAAGTGCTGACAGCTTTTCAGATGAGCTTGTAACAGAATCCGCATCGGAAGTTATTGACGATGAATCAGGCTTGCAAGTGATAGAAAAAAGTCGTGTTGCTGAAACTGAAGATAGTGCAACACCTATCACTGTGAGTGACGAAAGTGAAATACAAGAATGTGTATCCACAAGAAGCACTGAGGATGATTCAGAATTGAGTGTGTCAGATGCTACAAAAGATGGTGTGGTAAGTGAAATAGAAGTACCAGTTTTACTTGAGAGTGCCGAGGAGGAAACAAAAATACCAGCTATAGTAGAAATAGAAATACCAGCTACACCTGAAAGTTACGAGGCAGAAACAATACTACTAGCCACTGCAGACATAGAAATACCAGCTACGCCTGAAAGTGACGAGGGAGAAACAGAAAAACTGGTTTTAGCAGTAAGTACTAAGGAAGAAACTGAACTCCCCCTCATGACGGATAAGAAAATATATGTGCAACTCCGAGCAGAGGTCCCTGAGAGCAGAGCCGAAGTCGCTGCCGCACCAGAATGTATCGAGGATGAAGCAGAGTTGTCTGGCTCAACAGACAGTATCGAAGAAGAAACGAAGGAATCTGTTGATTTACAAAAAGAAGAAGTAACTCTCACAGAAATTAGTGAGACTGCATCAGAAACGCTTGTTCCGTCAGATAGCACATTAAGAGAAAAAACAGAGGATAGTGAAGTGCAAGAGACCGATGTTACTGAAGAGATGACTGAGAGCGAAAGAGAGGACGTGACAGATGTTACGGCAGAAAGCACTGAGGATGAGATAGCACACACTACAACGGAAGAAGAAGTAGAATTACTTGTAACAGAAATCGAGAATTTGGAAGATAATGAAGAGAACGTTCCATCAGAGGGTGCTGTTACAACACAGACCGGGGCAGGCGCCCAAGGAGTAGAAATGTCTGTAGAAGAGAAAGAGGAGGATGTGTCAACGGAGGAGCCTTTTACACCCGGAAGTATTGAGAGTGAAATGGGAGGAACAACAGAAGGTACGGAAAACGAATCTGTTACATCAGAGAGCTATGAAGAAATAGAATTGCCAGTTACAACAGGAGAAGATCAAAGAAAGTTGGCTAATGCAACAGAAATTTTTGAAGGCGGAAAAGAGATCGCATGTGTAACAGATGTTGATACAGAGAAGGGTGTTCCACGTGTAACAGATAGTGTACAGGATGAAACAGAAGTCCCAGCTGAATGTTTCGCGGAAATCCCTGAAATAACTATTACAACAGAAAGTACCGAGGAATCGTCAGAAATTTCTGTCCAAACTAGTAGTGAGGATTCATCAGAAATTCCTCGAGCACCAGAGAGTGGCGAAGTATCAGAAATATCTGTTGTAGCAGAAAGTGTAGAGGACGCATCAGAAATATCTGTTGAAGAAGAGAGATCAGAGGACGCATCAGAAGTATCTGTTGCAGCAGAAAGTGTAGAGGACGCATCAGAAATATCTGTTGAAGAAGAGAGATCAGAGGACGCATCAAAAGTATCTGTTGCAGCAGAAAGTGCAGAGGAAGTATCAGAAATATCTGTTGCAACAGAAAGTGCAGAGGAAATATCAGAAATATCTGTTGCAACGGAAAGTGCAGAGGACGTATCAGAAATATCTGTCACTACAGACAGCGCTGAAGAAGTATCAGAGGTGTCAGTTGCTACAGAGAGTGCAGAGGAAGTCTCAGAACTCTCAGGGCCATCAGAAAGCGCCGAAGAAACGTCAGAAATGTCTGCAGCCTCAGAAAGCCCTGAGGGGGTATCAGAATTGTCAGTTATATTAGAGAGTACCGAGGAGCCGTCGGAAGTGTCTCAGGCAGCGGAGAGTGTCGAAGGAACGGCAGAGGCTTCTGTTGCAGCAGAAAGCATCCGAGACACAGCAGCTGCAACAGAGAGCGCCGTGCTAGAGATCAGAGAGCACGAGGCTGAAGTGTGTGCGGCAGGGAAGGGTGCCGAGGGAGAGTCAAAAATACCTGTTGCAGCCGAAGGAATTTGTGAGCAGGGCGAGGGAAAATCGCAGTCGGAAGTCGGGGATCAAGTCCATGAGAAAGCGTCGTTACCCAGCGGTGAGCAGCCTTTCGTTTTGGTTTCGGTTCTGACCTTTTCTGACCTTGCCGCATTCGGGTCGTCGCTCCGGGCGTAACCTTGCCTTACTCTTGCAATGAATGCTAGGTAAGTGGCATTATTCTCGCTTGATTGAGCTACGTTGATTAAATGATGCAGCCTTCATTGTCGACAAGACCTGAGTATGTGCAGAAAGGTCACACTTTGTGTAAAGTGTGTGTGTACTTGATTCGGTTTGCTCGAGTGATGTAGAAGTGTCAAGGCATTTCTATATGTGCAGGTGGTGTATTGGTGAGCATGGTAGTTGTGAAGCTTTTCATATATTGTTCTCTCTCTCTCTCCACTTTCATCTCCCCTCAAATCTTAGGTCCCGTCTGTCTGTCTCTCTTATATATTATCTTGAGATGGGGACCTCCCCTCCTGGATGGAATTTGGGACTTTATCTCGGATTAATTGATGATT